GTAAACCAGGGTCCTCATTTGCAATATGTGACTGTTGCACGTGAACTTTGCTTTGCTAATGCGACATAGTTCCATGTTAAGAAAATAAATACTACATTCACATTGTAGCTGCTTCATAGAGCTGATTACTGAGAATTCTGAGCATTAAAAATTTCTGTGGAGTTGAAAAGTTACTGTATTCCTTGTATAACAGGAGTTTCCTTTTTTGTTGTGTGCATAGGTGTTTATGAACATCTATACATCCATTTGTATGTCTGGCACGAGTGTATCTCTACATAAATTGCTTTATCAAGTCAACTTATTTTGAAGGAAGACCAGCGGACCTTGCCTTCAGCTTATGGACTGCAGCAGTGCTGTCCCAGTTATCTGCCACTCAGCCTACCATAAAACTTACGGTTATGTGTGTCAAGGTACATTTACATAAAATGTCAGATTATACCCCACTGGAACAATTCTGTTGCTGACAAAAATCAACAAAACAGTTGCCGTTCCTATTCTAGCTTTTAGTGTAGTGCAAAACGGCAGCACTCCCGACATGCAGTACAGTACATTAATGGCTTGTCAGAGGAAACATCCTCAGGGCTGCCACAGCTATCTTGAGATATGTTCTCTGTCTCCTATCCACTATTGGGTCTTCAGGGCTTCCTGTGCAGCTAAGCGCATATCCTCTTTTTATTGAACTTTACTTTGGAAAATAGAAGGGTAACTGTAAAGCAGAAAACAGTGCTGAATGCCGCCAGGAAAGACATTTTCCTTAAAAGAGATGCTATACAGCAATCAGCCATAGAATTATTACCACCTCCCTAATACTGTGTACACAGGAGTCAATGCGACAGTTGGCTGACTCTCGTGTCAGTCTGCAGCTCACTGTGCATCTACTGTGAATCCATTTGCTTCTGTAGTTCTACTGTCAGGAAGAGTACAGATGTGTCGACCATTCAGTGACAAACTGATGTAAAAGGAGTGAAAACTGGTTGTGAGGACGAGTTAGAGATGATGTTTTACATGTAGACAAACTCAGTCTCCCCACTCTTGGTGTGATATCACCACTATAACTACTGAATGTTTTTCTCCGTAGAGACCAGTGTACAGTATTTCTCATTTTTAACCATTTTCACAAAGATTAAAACAAAATGGAAAATGTAATCCATAGTAGGTCAACCTCATCACCAGTGAGCCTTGGGCGTCCATGACCCTGTTGCTGGTTCACTATTTGTCCTTCTTTAGACACTGTTGGTGTAGGTACTGACCACTGCAGACCAGGAACACCCAACAAGACCTGGAGTGTGGGAGATGCTCTGACATGGTCATCAGCCATCACAGTTTGACCCTTGTAAAAGTTGCTCAGATCCTTACATTTGCCCATTTTTCCTGCTTCAAAAACATCAGCTTTGAGGACTGAATGTTCACTTGCTGCCTAACATACCACACACACTCATTGGTGCCACCGTAACTAGATAGTCACTCTTATTCAGTTCACCTGTCAGTGGTCAGAATATTATTGAAAAGGGTTAATTTCATTTGAACTTTCCTTGAAGTAGATCAGCTCTAAAGAAAAATCATTAGCCACCCTCCCACATTGCACCAGATGGAAGGGCCTTTACGTTTTCATGTTTTTGTCTTCCATCATTAAGACTAATGCTTAAGGTCACACTGCATCCACTGCACCTTATCCATCTTAACACCAGGTGTTCATTTGTTACAATTGGTCTACTACATCGTGTTGTTCACAAAATGATTCACAGATCCTTGTCTTTTCTCTCCTCTTCTGTGTTTTTCCTTACTTGTCCTCTTTGTCTCTCTGCTCTGTTTGGCTCCCTCATTCACCCTTATCTGCAGGTAACAGTATTCTCCACTCAGCCGCAGACAGTGTGACGAGTGCTGTGCAGAAAGCCAGTCAGGCTCTGAATGAGCGCGGTGAGCGATTAGGTCGGGCTGAGGAGAGGACTGTAGACATGATGAACAGTGCTGAACAGTTTGCTGTCACTGCACACAAGGTGAGGCAATATGTTAGCGCGATACATTGTAATGCATAATCTCAAGATGGGCTAGTTAAAGTGTTTCAGTGCATTGCAGCGAAATTCTGACTTCAAGTGCCACCTCGTGTTATAGAAAATATAGTCATGATTTAAAAGTCTTTATTAGTTTAGCCAAAATATGAAATGTTTTGCTTAAATGTGAAGATATTTGTAAGAGTTGCTTCAGCAGTGGGAAGATAAGTTTCCTTTTTTCATTCTTCCCTAATTTACTCTTTTGTAGCTCTCTGTAGGGTGTTCTCTCATCCTCCACTTATCCCATATCTCTTTGTTTGTCAGGAAAACTAATTGCATGCTATTTAATGAGGCTATTAACAGTTGTTTTTTTTTTTAACTGCAAAACAAAATCAAAAGTTTATGCTTTGTAACAAGCGCGCCCAATTGTGATCATCACAGCTGTTTTAAAGCACACAGAATATCACGCACCCGTGAATGTGCTTTCGCTGGCATGTGCCAGCAAAGGTTGAATGTCATTGACTTTAATAGTAAAGTCATCCACTACCCATTGAAATGACTTAGTGATGCATAATGTCATACTAGTGACGGTGGGATAATTGAAAGCCATTTGAAGACCCTTTCATGGGCCTCTGACTGCTCAGAGATGAGCTTCCCCACTGCGATGAAGTACAGAAACTGTGATAAGCAGAGAAAAATGCCTTGGTGGTCTCAGGAGAGAATGACTGTAGAGCCCCCATGAAGAATCGCTCATTTGCCAGCATTTCTCATTTTACTGTGCTGCCATTAGCTTTTATGTTTGTTTTGTAACTTATCCTGTGTCCTGCATATTATTATGCACCACACGTATGAAGCCCTTTAATCCTGTTGGTAATTTATTCATTGAATGTGTCTGAGGATGACTTTGCAGATGACTTGACAGGATTTATTATAACGAATTTGAGTTTTTCTTCTTTTTTAAAGTCATATGCATGTGTTATAAGTGGACCTCTGCACATGATGTAGCTTTGAATTATAGTCAAGTGCCGTGCTAAGCATCTGCAGTATTGTGAGAGGGTCACCTTAGCTCTTTTTCCTTTCTTTCCTTTTTACTTTTGCAACCCCGTTTCTGCATGAGCAATTTAGTGGCTGCTCAGTTTTAATCAAGACCACTTACCTCCGCATGTTGCTCTGCAACCCACACTTGTATATTTCAGTTCTCTTAGTCTACAGCAACATACCCCATACTCAATTTGTAGTGTGTGTGTGTGTGTGCGTGCATGTGTGTGTGTATAAATCTGTGTCTACCATCCTTACATTTCCATTTATATTAGTGATGGCCCTGGTCTTCTCTCTAATGAACCTCCGGCCAAACCGATTAAAACTTTTGTTAATAAGTTAAAGTGCCTTGTCGTTGCCGTAATAAAACACCCCAGGACCCTTGGCTGCTGTCCAGCACCTTTATAATAATCCTCCTTAACAGCCTTTTCTCTTTATGGAAGAATTATAGTAAACAGTTAAATCTCTATCTTACATTTGCTTTTTATTCATCACTGTGTTCACCACCGCATTTTATTGAAGATGGTCTGTTGCATCTACTTGTTTCTGTAGTTGCCTAGTTGCTGATAGGGTCATTTAAAAGAAAACTCCACTCAGACTGCCTCCTTGAGTTTCTCATAGTATTATCCTGCAATCCCCACCCCAATTTTTCTACAGCTTGCCATGAAGCACAAGTGTTAGACCACTGCCAAAATCAACGGGGATGGGGTTGGGGGTCACCATTCGCCAGACGCTGTACAGAAGAAGGATGACAGGTCTTACAGAAAATGTTATGATTATGATTTGTTAACATTTTTGGGTTACTGTATTCTGGTTCATCTTCTGATGATATCATGTCAAGCAGAGGAGAGGAAGAACGGGAAACAACTCTCATGAGAATGTCTCATTTGTTTGTGTTTGTCGAATAAATTAGGAGCCACAGCCATGACTGTATTTGATAACTACCAACACACAAAACACTTCCCCTTTTTATTACGCTCAGACATTAGTGTGTGTGTACACATGCTGAAAAGTCCTCAGCAGCCACCGCAAGACAAGGAACAATTTGTCTCACAGGTTGTAAATTGTTTCCGAGTTATTTATGATCCCTGCAGCGATTATGCAGTTTGATTTGAGTGATGGACGCTAATGGATTTCACAGGTGTGACTTAGGATTGTGTAGTGGTATACAACACAAATATATAATTTATACATTTGATGTTGTGGTTCTCACGTTTATGAGAGAGGGAAAGCCACATAAATCCAAAAATATTCAGTTTTAATTTAATGCTTCCTTTGACTGTTGCTGTATCACAACAGTGTTGGCCAAAAGATTTTTAACTCCGTTTATAAACTGCAGGTGATGCTGAATAGAGCCGTTGAGGTGACCTGTAACAATAGGGAAATATTTTTGTCATCTCCTAGACTTGTCTGCCATTCAGAAGCAACCAAAACAACTTGGAATACATTTGCTAACATTTTTCAAAGTGTACTTGAATAACATGCTTCTTTGTTACAGTAATTTATGTCAAAGGGTGCATTTCAGCTTCTGCATTGTAGAAAAGCAAAACATGTAATTCTTCTAGTATTACTATCTCAATGTCTGTAGAGCTCATTTATCCCATGAAGTTGGGATGTTTTGAAATTACTCCTGGCTCTTTTTCAGCATTAAACATTCAGTAGTCCTACCTAGTGCTTTCTGTATAATTTGGCCTGGTAATTCTAATGATGTGTGTACTGATAGATAAAGAACAGAATGTCTCAAATAGCAGCAGCCATGCGTAGAAGTTTATTTTTTGTGTCGGTGCTTTCACACTGACTCTAACTTTAGTTTTGTCCCTGGCAAGACACCACCCTCACAACTGAGCCCTATGTGATTTCTTTTCTAGTTTGGATTTTATAGTTTATGATATTACAATGCACTGACAACCTTATCTTGCAGAGCAGATCATAACGAAATGTTCCAGTTGCCTAACTTTTGTGTTTATTATTCTGTGTCATTTTGTTTAACCAGCTCTGAGTTCCATCAAATGGTAAAATTTCATTCAAAATGGTAAAATCATCATTAATGCATTAGTGTATCTTACCTACATGGATGTTCATTGCTCATGAACAGTAAGCTCCCAGTGTGTCTCAGGGGTTAACATTTTCTCTGTCTGATGTGCTCAGTTTCACTTCATGCTTCAACAATGCTCTTATCACCCTGATCTCAACTCTCTATAATACTGTCCAATCCACACACAATAAAATGGTTCTTTATTAGTGCCTTTTGCTGTTTGTGTCTCATCTCAGTCTACAAATCGTTGTGGATGTGTGCTATGTAGCATCCCAGGGAAAGACGGCCTCAGAAGATCATGAAGATAAAGGTTTTGGTTACAACTGAATAAAATACCAGACCAGAGTTATGTGGAAGTCGCTGTAAGAGGGTCGGCATCATTATTGATCAAATTTTGAACATGAAAATATGACTTATTGTTTATCTACTGAAATTTGAGCAGCTTCTGATTAATACCTTTTGTATAGATAAACATGTGCATGCACCAAATTTAAATTTACTTTTACATTGTGTGTATGAACATTATGTATTGTAAATGGACATTTTTGACTAGTGGCATTGAAGTTTTTTAAAATTTTAATGGGAAATGCATCATTGAATGTCTTCACATAGATGCATGTAGCCTAGACACAGTACATGTGTAAGGGTGTGATATGTGTTGTACCTCGGTCCTGGTTGCAGTAAAGACTGCCCTCATGTGGTGTAGTTTAAAAACAGCATCTGTAAATACAAACCAAGGACCCACTACAAGGAATTACAACTAAAGAACATGCTTTGTATCTGTGAAAATGAGATTGGTAAACACCAGTTAACGTAAGAAGAGAATTTTTGTCAACTTGCCGTTATAGCTGTGAAGAAAGTTAAGAAACTCACCTTTGGTACCTGTTAAAGAAAGTTACCTGTGTAAAGAGGTTATGTTTAATTGTTACTATAGAAAACCATGTTATATACTTACCCCAAGAGAAGTTTGAGTTGTCCCCTGCTGTCCTGAAAGCCTGTTCATCTCTTAAGTTTCCTCCCCTGTTCACTAGCGATGATACCTTTTCTAATCTAAATCTCGTCACCTCTGAATATTTTCTGATTGCCTCATTTCAATGTGCCAGATTCTGCAGTCCTTTTAGGAAAAAGTGACACCATTTGTTATGCCTACATTGTTATTGTAATAACTGATTTCTGGTATCAGAAGAGCCTTCCTTCCTGAGGGCCTATTTCCTGTTTTCACAGAAGGAGTGGGGGGACACTGGTGAGGCTTCCTGATAAAGACTTAACAAAGGACAGAGTCAAGTGAGCAGAAATGAATCTTCTCAAAACATCTATGTTATCTTCTCCTTTCTTGCCGCCGCCTCATAGTATTCTAATCTTCAGTTAATGATGTGCACCAATCTAACAAGTGGAAGGGCAGTAAATGTGGTAGCAGTGTGGAAATACATGACCTATAGCTTTTAGTGACGTACAGAGTGGGGTGTAATTACCCCATAAAAAGCCCCTGTGCAGGACTCTGCTATCGTTATTCTCTCTGCCAACTCACTCACCATCCCCAGCTCTCTTT